ATGGACTCTCCTTCTCCTTTTTAGTAATGTTTTTAATTAAGGTTTTATGTATTTATATACTTTATGTTTTAATGTTTGTTGTGAATCGCCCAGAGTTCCCCCATTGGGGGGAGACGGCCGGCTGACAAATTAAATAAATAAATAAATAAATTGTGCCAGGCTGCCTCTTTTCTGCTTCGATTCTCTTTTCCAGGAAGCTTTGAGCAGACGCACCTAATCCCCATGCCCAATTCACACTCTGAAAAATATCCTGATGCAAATAATATTCTGTTATAAAAACTTCAGAACAGGTTTTTGGCTTGCGGACCCTATTTTGTGGATGTTGTGGTCAATAAAGATTTCATTTGGTGCACTACTTTTTAACTTTTGATTTTTGTTACTGAAAAACTCCAAAAACAGGAACCTTTTCTGAACTTGTAGGCAACATGTTTAATGGTGCTTTTGAAAATGGAATCCTGTTCATGGCCCCATTGAGTATAAACTAGAGACATTCAAAATATGAAATGGACTATTAACAGCAGAGGGAAAAAAGAGCTGAGTGGTCAGAACAGGGATTTGAAAAAGGAACAGACAGCAAGTTTGAAGTGGCATAAATGCAACTGGAAGTTGTGGTATCAATGGGGAGCAGCTTGCACACAGCACATGTATAAAATAAAGGCTGCTGCATTTAACGGGGAACCACTGCAGTGCTGTGCTGAATTCCAGGTGGTATTCAGAGGGAGCAGGAAGGCACGAGGGAAGAGGAGTCTAGGTCAGGCCCATCTAATCCAGCATTTGGGTCCTCACTGTAGCCAACCAGATTGCACTGGGGTGCTCACAAACAGGCAGTGGGGATACACCCCCTTCCACCCCTGGTACATGGAGGCCTGCTGCTCCCAACCTGGAAGTATCTTGCTTCTTCAAGACTGACAGCCCTTAACAGACATGTCCTTTATGAATCCTTTCCAAGACACCCATGCCTTGTGGAACCTGGTGGCTGCTCATCTATGGGGAGCAAGCACCTGGCAGTACAACACTTTCCATTCTTGCCGTGCAGCACCCTGTTTTTCACCCTGCACAGGCCTGCTTTCTCTGGCATGGGCTTTGTGGATAGACTGATGGCTTTTCTGTTTCAAGATGGATTGCAGCAGTCTTTCCCCAGCTTTAAGTCCCAGGCTGGGGGAGGCTGGCTGGCATCCTCTAGATACATCTTTTCCCATTTCTGATCCTGCATCATCTGTGACAATTCTGACCTTCCAACGTTTCAGATGCTGGGAAAGACTGGACAGGGATGTGTACTCCAGGGCAATGCTTGAGACTGCTCTTCCTCCTTCCCAAAAGCAAGGCTGGTGATGGACAGTACTGTCCTCCTTAAACGCTTTTGAGTGGCTGCCTGCCCTGCCTGGCCTTCACCTGTGTCCTGCAAAAGTCTATCAACGTTCAAGTCTTCTCTCCACTCTGGATCTGGGGAAGTGGTGGGGATCACCTCTCTCCCATCCTTACTTACCCTTCTACTGTGAAGTTAGATTCACCAGAAAGGGGCAGCATGTATGATGGCAAGGACATGGATGGACAAATCTTTGGGGAGAACAGAAAGGACTTGGCAGCCTGGCAAGTGTGCCAGGGGCTCTTATCTTCTCCCCATACAACATGCTCCAACATTTCCTAAGCCATTTACTAGGGCACAATTAGGTCACTTCTGCTTAAGCTTCAAGCCAGCTGGTGGACATCTGACAAAGAGGGTACTATTCAGTGGAACCTGGAAGTCCTCTAATGAGGGAAGACATTTGCGCTGCTCTCACACAATACTGGAGCTCTATCTCCTACACGTATTTCTGAGCAAAAAAGGTTTGCTTCAGCCAGACCTTCCTTTTTTCCAGTTTACTGTGAGGTGGGAATCCAACCACTGCAGTGGTAATGCTGGCAATCCCAAAGTGGACTGGGAGGTTCTGCAGCTGACCTGCCCATTTTCCTTGCAAGAGGCAAGATAAACTGTTATCAGGGCCCTTACTGAACAACCAAACTGTTTCCGTGGCTGTGTGCAATCTCTCTGCCCAACCACCTTCCTTTGTGCTGCACAGGTGGCAGACATTCCTGGTCCGGGTGGACTTTTTACTCGCTCTCACCTGGCTGCTTTTGGCTGCTGCTCTGCACTTGGCTGTCAGATACGGGCTGCTCCCGGGTCACCGTGCTCTCTCCTGACTGGCTGTTCAGCGGTTTAGATGGCGCCTTCAGGTTGGCAGCAATCCCCGGCAGTGGCTGTCCTCGCTTCAAGAGTTGTTTCTGCTCCTGGTGCCGGAACCGTGGCGGTACCTCACGAGGTGGGTAGCGCGGTGAAGACGGCTGCTGCACTTGCGGATTGCTGCCCACAGCCCGTTTGGCATTATTATTGCCACTAACACTACCGGTGACTATGGAAGTGGGAGCAGGGGCTGAAGCAGGGAGCGGCTGGCTTGTACCAGGCTTTGGGGGTTCTAACACTGTCCCACCAAGAGAGGAGGAGAGAAAGGAAGAATATATTTAGTAAATTAATGCAAACGTGATCTCTTAAAAAAACAAAAAATTACACCATGTTCACCAAAAACTGCACAAAAGGTTGAAATGCGGCTGTTAAATTACAGGGCTACTCCAGTAACCCTTTATTTAAGGTGAATTACTTTATTTACTGAGGCTTACATGCCACTCTAATCACAAACAATTCTGCATTTCAAAAGTAAGTTCCACTGTGATAGGACTCATTATTCTACTACTCCCAGATATGAAACCTTTTGACCAGGTAATCTGAAAATGTTTGGTCTTTATAATCTATTCAACATATTTACGAATGCCCCAACTCCAAAACAAATAGCATGACCACCACAAGTACAAGTTAAGAAATGCTCAAAATTGTCATGTTCACCCAAATTATCAACATGTAAAATACAAAGAAGTGTTATTCAGAAATTTCCCAGCAAGAAAAGCAATCCTTCATCGGACTGAAGATCTGGCCAACAGCTCAAAGTTTTCCTTGCCCTACTACAGCAGCAATTCCTGACAAAGGTGTACCATGAATGTTCAGTTCCACTCTGAAGGCAGAACGCTGCTACTGGGTGAGGCCTTGCAAATAGAAACTGCCTGAAGGTTCTTTGGGCAGAGCTGTCCCTCTATGTATGAACTGTGACCTCTGAGGGAGGACAGAATGAACAGGTGCAGAGACAGGAGGGACCAGGACCTCATAGTTGCTTTCTCCAAGCAGAAATGTAACCCAAGAAGAGGAGCTGAGGTCTTTAGAGCCTTTCAACTGCAATGCAATGGCATCAATTTCTGCAAAAGAATATGCAGGAATTATGGCCTTATGCTAATATTTTGCCTTCAAAG